TTGAAGATGTGTGGACTTCAACTCCCAGAATTCCCCAGCCAGCTAGCTAGCTAGCTGGCTGGGGAATTCTGGGAGTTGAAGTCCACACATCTTCAAGCTGCCAAGGTTGAAAAACACTGTCCTAGACTACAGTCTTTGGTGGGCTATTGATCCTAGGTTAGGCTGCTACAGGTTCTCCTGAGTTCAGGAGAACCTGTAGCTAATGTTATATCTGGTTCAGAGAACCTCCAAATCACACCCCTGGCAGGAGTCTCCACGCGGCCCGTTTTGGATGTGAGGTAAGTGCAAGGCAGAGACTCAGGGAGGGAGAGAAAAAGGCCGCGTAGAAATTCCAGAAGGCCGGAAATGGATTCGTTTCTAGCCGGAGAGCCTCCAGAGCCCGGGGGGAGGCAGTTTTCACCCTCCCAGAGGCTCCAGGAAAGCCGCCGGAGCCTAGGAAGCCGCCGTGGTGCAGGAGGCCAACTAAGCCATGCCCACCATGGCCATGGCCACCTAGCAACCGAGCAGAGAACCCGTTGCTGAAATTTTGGAAGCCCACCCCTGAATTGATCCAAATGATGCTGAAATATCTAACTACAGCATGTAAAGACATTTGCAAAGTTTCCCAAGCAACCAGCTAGGCTCCTCACCTCCCTATCCCATACAGAGCTCCATTCAACCTATGTGGAGGTATCTTTGTGGTTCTCTCTACAATCCCTTCATTCTTATTACTTTCTACCCTGAACAGCTTGGGATCGTCTCCATTTGACCTCCTCCTAACTCCTTATGGGTTATCCACAAATTGAAAGGCGGCTCTGATCCCCAGTTTTTATGTCTCTCCAATCAGAAAATAAACTTACCCATTTATTCTGGAATTTCCTGTTGTCCTAGACAAGTAATTGGTCTCCCCCTTGTTCTAAAATATCACATTTTTGTCTTTACAAAGAGCCATTGCTGAAGGATTTTCAAATCCTTTCGAAGGGCCTCTTAACAAAGAGCCTCTTGAATTTCTTCTGGTTACATGCTAGAACTTTCTGGGTTCATGTGACCCACCAAACCGTAAACATATCCCATTAAGGCAATATGCACAGCTCAGAATTAGGCTGAAATGTTTCTGGTTAATTTATAGTTCAAAGTGCGGTGCAATCACTGTGAGGCAGGAGTGGGCTGCTAAGGGGTTTGCAGGGGTTCAGGAGAACCTCTAGCCAAGAATCTGTAAAGTTCAGAGAACACCCCCTAATCCCACTCCTGTCTGGCCCCACCCACTCCGTCCCTCCCAGGAGTCCCCACACGGCCTGTTTTGGATGCAGGTAAGTGTAGGGCGCGTGGAGGCTCGGGGAGGGCAAAAAAGGCGCCTACCGGAAATTCGGGAAAACCAAGAAGTTTCCCCCCATGGGCGCCCTGCTCCCATGCATGTGTGCGTGATGCTCTCCACGCCCCCACGCATGTATGTGGAACTCCCTGCGTGCACTCCCTGTGCATACATGCATGACCTTCCATGAGCACCCCACAAGTGCACACAACCCCCGCACATCCGCCCCAGCACATGCGCAGCAGAGAATGAAAACCAGCTGGCTGGTGGGAGGCACGCACACATGTGCGGTAGAGCTGACCTGGGGTGACGGCTCACCTACCCACAGAGAGGGCTCT